AAACGGAGGTTTCTGGCAGTTCGGATTGGCTTCACTTGACAGAGTGCAAAACGCTAGGATCCCTGGGACCACAGGAGCCGCAGGACTTCGTCAAAAGTGCAAAACGGTAAGGCCAGCTGTTGCAGTTTACTTAGATGAATTATCAACTTAAAATGTGTTAATTCGGCAGTCAAGACAGTCGTCACTCACCCTGAAAAGGGTTGCCTCAATTGGCTCCATGGCACCATGTCGGAGCCACCATGGAAATCACACTAGACAAGAATGGATCATTATATGATCCGGCAGGAACTGAATCCTGAAACGTGCAAACCAGCCTAGATCGTTAGATTAGTAAAGGAGCCACATGAGGTACTTCTCGAAAACGATGTAGGGCATCCAATGTTGTCAAACGTAGTTAAAACCAGAATCCATAGAGTTTTGACCAGCATGTTGAAAATCCAAAATAATGTTTCGGCGATTGTTCCCAAAAAGACCCAAAGTTCGTCGGCGACATGGTCTCGGCGAAAATATGTCAAAAATCATGATACTGTCGGCGATATGGTTTCGGCGAAAATCTGAGGAAGGTTCTGATGCATGTAAATTTCAAAATTGATTCCAGATTGCGACAACAGTGCAGCAGATTGTATAATATTGTAGTTGGGGTTCTTAGCTTGGCCCCTTGCTATGTCGGAAAAATACAAGCGCAGGTACGTCGGGATGATCAGTCCCGATATCACAATCTCAAACCACCGTCTTCGTTGGGCAGTGGATGGAATGAGATTCACTGCCCCCCTGCAAGTATAAACAGGTTTCCTGTAAATGTAACACGGTAAGAGTCAAGGAAGTTTTACATCTGTTCAGATGTTACACACACACACAAACGCTTTTACACACAGACGCTTTTACACACATAGGCTTTTACACACAGAGGCCTTTACACACAGACATTTTTACACGCAGACACTTTTACACGCAAAACGCTTTTACATACAAACACTTTTACACACAGACACTTTTACACACAGACGCATATACACACAAACGCTTTTACACACAGAAGCGTTTACAAACAGACGCTTTTACACACAGAAGCGTTTACACAAAGACGCTTTTACACACAGAAGCTGTTACACAGAGGCTTTTACACGCAAACGCTTTCACACACAGACACTTTTACACACAGACACTTTTACACACAGAAGCTTTTACACACAGAGGCTTTTACACACAGAAGATTTTTTGCACAGACTCCTTTACACACAGACGCTTTTACACACAGAAGCTTATACACACAAACACTTTCACACACAGAGACTTTTACACAAAGAAGCTTTTACACACAAACGCGCTTTTACACAGACACTTTTACTCACAGACGCTTTTACACACACACACTCTCTTTTCCTTTACACACACACACTTGCACACACACAGAGGCTTCTACACACAGACGCTTTTACACGCAGATGCTTTTGCACACTTGCTCAGAACAATCTTTGCGAATTCTGATGTGGAATGCAACGGACGTTTAAAAACACCAACAATAAACTGACACGAAGAATGAAACCTATTACAATGGTATATAATGTTTGCTGCATAATAGTAAAACCACCCCCTAAAAAAAATATGTTTTTAAGAAAATCCAGGGGGGGTCAGCATTCCAATAATAAAGTCTTTGGAACCTTATAGCTGGAATCATGATATGTATCTGATAGATTCTCCATGGTTTTGTTGGGTTTCTGAAAGATTCTGAATGGATTTGGTTGGGTTTCTGATAGATAGGGTATGGATTTTGCATGGATTAGGGTTAGTTTCTGTTAGATTCTGCATGGGTTTGGTTTGGTTTCTGTTAGAATCTGCATAGGATTTGGTTGGATTAGGGTTGGTTTCTGTTAGATTCTGCATGGATTTGGTTTAGTTTCTGTTAGAATCTGCATGGATTCTGCATGGGGCAGTGTTGCTTTCTGTTAGAATCTGCATAGGGTTTGGTTGGATTTCTGAGATGTTCTGCATAGGTTCTGCATGGATTAGGGTTGGTTTCTGTTAGATTCTGTATGGATTTGGTTTTTGTTTCTGATGGGATCTGCATGGATTCTGCATGGGTTAACGACTCACTTCCAACACCAAAAATCAACTCACTTCCAACACCATCTCACTCCCAACACCAAGAACTCACTCCCAACACCAAAAATCAACTCACTTCCAACACAAAAAGCACTTTTCGGCGTCGAGGGCGAGTCGATTTTCCAGTTTCCCCATTGGTACTGAGGCGTCACTTCTGGAACCCAATCATATACAAACATTACAGGGAAAATGATCAACACTGATCATTACTTAGATCATTACTTGACTTAGATCATTACTTGACTCAGCCATTTAGGGTTTGGTTGGGGGGGAGGGATCATTCAACTTAGATCATTACTTGACTCAGCCATTTAGGGTTTGGTTGGGGGGGAGGGATCATTCACTTACATCATTACTTGACTCAGCCATTTAGGGTTTGGTTGGGGGGGAGGGATCATTCTACTTACATCATTACTTGACTCAGCCATTTAGGTTTTGGTTTGGTTGGGGGGAGGGACCATTGAACTTAGATCATTACTTGACTCAGCCATTTAGGGTTTGGTTGGGGGGTTGGGATCATTCAACTTAGATCATTACTTGGCTCAGCCATTTAGGGTTTGGTTGGGGGGGAGGGATCATTGATCTTAGATCATTACTTGACTCAGCCATTTAGGGTTTGGTTGGGGGGGATCATTGAACTTAGATCATCACTTGACTCAGGCATTTAGGGTTTTGTTGGGGGGGGATGGGTCATTGAACTTAGATCATTACTTGACTCAGCCATTTAGGGTTTGGTTGGGGGGGAGGGATCATTCTACTTACATCATTACTTGACTCAGCCATTTAGGGTTTGGTTGGGGGGGAGGGATCATTGACTTACATCATTACTTGACTCAGCCATTTAGGGTTTGGTTGGGGGGGAGGGGTCATTCTACTTACATCATTACTTGACTCAGCCATTTAGGGTTTGTTTGGGGGGGAGGGAACATTCTACTTACATCATTACTTGGCTCAGCCATTTAGGGTTTGGTTGGGGGGAGGGGTCATTCGACTTACATCATTACTTGACTCAGCCATTTGGGGTTTGGTTGGGGGGGAGGGGTCATTCTACTTACATCATTCCTTGACTCCGGCATTTAGGGTTTGTTTGGAGGGGAGGGGTCATTCTACTTACATCATTACTTGACTCAGCCATTTAGGTTTTGGTTGGGGGGGATCATTCGACTTACATCATTACTTGACTCAGCCATTTAGGGTTTGTTTGGGGGGGAGGGGTCATTCTACTTACATCATTACTTGACTCAGCCATTTAGGGTTTGTTTGGGGGGGAGGGGTCATTCTACTTACATCATTCCTTGACTCAGCCATTTAGGGTTTGTTTGGGGGGGAGGGGTCATTCTACTTACATCATTACTTGACTCAGCCATTTAGGGTTTGTTTGGGGGGGAGGGGTCATTCTACTTACATCATTACTTGACTCAGCCATTACTTGACTCCATCATTACACCATGAGCCGATCTTCTCTTGCACCTGCACACCAACATGATCTCACGCTATCACCATGAACATGAAGAAGATGAAGATGAATAATACTCGGAGGAAGAAAATGCTTATAACAAGGATGATCATGAAGATGATGATGATGATGATGATGATGTTGAGGTATCCCGAAGCGATGCATGAGGCGTAGCCCGAAGCGATGCACCCGACGTATCCCGAAGCGATGCCTATGCCTCCTCCGGCTTGAGATTGGAATTTGGGCAAGATATGGCAAGATATGGCAAGATTGCATCAAAACTCAAAAGCACCGAAAATGGATTCACCTGTCTCCTTGGTTTGGGAAACACGTGTCCTGATAACGGTGGCATCGCAACGCAATCTCCGCCACCTGCCTCTGCTGCAAACCTCCTGATGCCAGCGGTGTAAAAGGCAAAGCCAATACCGTGCGCAAGTTTCGAAGAACCTTGGGTTGAGCGCAAGGTTAGACAGGTTATGGTATAGTACTTAACAACAAAGCTGAAAACATGTGCATGTGCGTGTGGGGTCCTCTATATATGCAGACTATGCACACAACACTGCTTAGTACTCGAGCCCTTTGATGCAATAGGTATCAATAGATATCATAAGGTCCCGATCATAAACTAGGACCCCTGAGTTGAAATCTCGTAAACAATGTAACAAAGAGGTCCAACAAAAAACGAATCTCTTCAAACTTTAAAGTCAAAGTCGGAGGAACTTGCTCTTCGTGAGCACCAGGACTGCCGCAGTTCTTCAGCAAGCCATCAATGCCTGGATAATCGAAATTGGCGTCGGCAATGACTGGCACCATTTCCAAGGTCCGCCGAGAAGCAGGACAAGCTGTGGAGGCGGAGAGCAGCAACTTGTTGAAGTCTTGATCCAGGAAGATTCCCCGAAAAAACAGAACTAGCAGGTAGTAGGCGAATCGTTTGAAACTTGTCATCTGGTACATCCCATGCACAACAGCACACTCAACATTCAGCTCAACTTGCAGCAGGTGCTGAAAGACCTCGCAGGTCGATAGAAACTCAGCTTCCAGCAAGGAGCTCACGATAAGAATGCGAGGTCGTGAAAGATTCGAAGGCCTCCCATGGGAAGACACGCCGCAAATATTCAGCAGCTTCACAACTGCATCCTCGCGGCTAGAAACCTAACAGCGCCAGGTGAAGTTTCAGCAAGTTTCATGACGTCATTCATGGTTTCATGGTCATGGCAAACTATAACATACTGTAACCATGTTTGTGATTGTTTGACCATGATAACGAGCTTTCAGCTGCCAAAACCACACACACCAAAATGCACATCAAATCCATGTCTCAACAAATTAAACTCGCACACTCTGTCTACAGCCTCTGTTTCCTGAGCCCTGCACTGGACCAAATCGGGGCATCTGAAGAGAAGTCAGCTCATGCTGCAACCATCCGTATGCCGCATTCACATCATCCATTTCCACCCCATAACTTGCCAGCTGAACCTTCTGGTGAGGGGTCCAGAGTGTTGGGATTAGCTTTTGTGCCTCATCGGAGAGTGGTTCAAAACCATCACAGACCAACGGTAGAGTGGCGATCCCATTCTTCCAGGCAGTCACAATTTCTCCGGCACACCAGCTTCTGGACAATAGTTCTGGGGTCAGCACAACCACCAGGTTTTTGGTTGACGTTCGTACGATGTCAAACAGCATGTCCAAGTTTTCCAACTCATCACTATCCAAAAACACTCGAGTTGATGAGTGCTGACTAATCAGGATCTTCAGCAAGCGGCTCAGGCTGCCCCCACCGGCCTTGTGATGGCATAGGAAGATACCATAAAGCTTTGTATTCCGCTGAAGATGCTTTAGGGCCAACTTTGCAAATCCAACTAAAGCCACAAGCAACATGGAAAGAACTGGTATGCAAAGAAGCCAGCCAAGCACTGTTGCGGACTGTGTCTTGTCTGTCAGTAGCAAGGGCCCAGCGCTCAGTAAAATTACCAGAAGAAGGTCGGTCAAAAGAACATCCACCAGATTGGCCAACCCTGTGCGCCATGGAGCTGTGTGGATCTGAAGATTCTGGACGGCAATCAAGATCATGCCCATGAGTGGCACTTGAACTTCCGGAATACCAACCAGAACAGTAGGCATCAGAGCAACCAAAGCATTACGATAGAGCAGCACCAAGCCGTAGTAGTACGCATCAGGCTTAAATCGGTGGAGCAGGAAGCGGTATCGAGTTGCGAAGCGCTGCCCCTTCCCACTGGCTACTTGCGATGGATAGCTGCAAATGACATAGGTTGCCAACCCAAGGACGGCCACAGGCTGAGTCACTATTCCTCGTCTCAACTTCACCGACCAAAATTTACCCAAAAGGGTCCCCTTTGGCCCCACAAAGACTACACCTAAAACAATTTCAACCTTGCAGCCAGAATTCCTGCAACTGCAAGCCACACGAAAAGTGCATGATCTTTCGACTCAAAACAAATAATGCCCGGGTGCAGCAACATTGAGCTACTTCCATTTGGGCTGGTCACACACTGAAAAGGAATCAGTGTGCTGCGGGTGATGGACAGGAAGAAAGCGAAGATCAACAATCCACACTGGTTCATGACAGTGTTGAATGGTTTGCGCCGCCCGAGCATCTTGTTCAGCACCCAACTGCATACTAGAAGAATGCAAGCAATGGGACATGTGAGCAGGCGACTGACAAAATACAGCACTGGACTGTCTGTTCCAAAGAAGCAAGAAGTTCGGACGAAATGGAAGTCGAACATCATGATCTTGGTGAGGTCGATCAATGTCCTTACTGGTTGCTGCCATTGGATTGAGAGTTCCCGGATGGAACCCAATGCCTGCATAGCCATGATGAGCTGGCCGGTGACTGAAGCCGCCGTCACCGTGTTCAAACCTTGAAACTCGGTCCGAGGTGAACTGGGTGAACTGCACTTTGCAAAGTGTATGAACATTGACTCATGATAACTCCTTAACATAGCTTACGTTGGCAAACACTACCGAAACTAAATATGCACTTTGCAGGTTTCCGGGATGCGGAATTGCTAAATTGTCTATCAAATTCTTGGGTTTCTCAATCAGCAAAGGAAGCTTAAAAGTCTATGTTTCCATGTAACGGATATTCAAAAAAACACAACCACCACTATCACAACCAACATTATTTCAACCACCACTGAAACAACCACCACCACCACCATCACAACCACCACTATCACAATCACCATTGTCACAACCACGACCATCACAACCACCACCATCACAACCACCGCCATGACAACCACCACCATCAGCACCACACTATCACCCACCACCTCTATCACCACCAACCACTATCACACCCACCCTCATCATCAACCATTGGTCACAACCACACCTCTATCACTACCATGATTATCACAATCACCACGCAACCACCACTTCATCAGCACAGCCACCGCTATGATCTTATGTGTGAGATGATCGCAGAATGAGTGAAATTGAGAGTGAGAATGATCTAAAGGGTGAGTTAGACGAGAGTCGAGTTGATCTGATGGTGAAATTATCTGATAGTGCGTTGGGATTATAGTGACTTGAACGAGAAACAAGATCTCATCGTGATTTGCGATGACATTAGATAGCGCCTGACGCTGCGTTTTTCACATCTTTAACTATCAGTTTTTGAGGAAAGCCCGAACGAAAGCTTAGTTTTCACATCTTCAACTTTCAGTTTTTGAAGGAAGCCCCGTACGAAAGCCTTGTTTTCAGGACTTCAACTTTCAGTTTTTGAGGGAAGTCTTGCACGAAGGATTCCTTTTCACATCTGCAACGTTCTGTTTTGAGGAACGTCTCACACGAAAGGTTCGTTTTCAGAACTTCAACTTTCTGTTTTTAAGGGAGGCCTCCCACGACAACTTCGTTTTCACATCTTCAACTTTCACTTTTTAAGGGAAGTCTCGCATAAAGTGCTTTTTTGAAAGATAGCCGTTTCAGTTTTGAAGGGAGGTCTCGCACGAAAGCATCGTTTTGCCAACTTCAACTTTCAGTTTTTGAAGGATGTCTGGCACGAAAGCTTCGTTTTCACATCTGCAACTTTCTTTTTTTTGAGGGAAGCCTCGCGCGAAAGCTTCGTGTTCAGAACTTCACGTTTCAGTTTTGAAGGGAAGTCTCCCACGAGATGCGTTTTTGAGAGAAAGCGGATGCGCAAAATGCTGCGTTTTGCAACGCAAAACATGCCTCAGAAGATAGATGGGAAAGGTCTGCCATGTGACGGGTGCGGAACACGTCTGGCTATAGGGCGGATCATTCTCGGATCAGCCCCGCATTGGAACTGACGGTTCAGACGTTGTTTTGCCAACTTGAGATTGTGAGTTTGTGACGGACGTCTCGCACGAAAGCTCCGTTTCACATCTTTAACTATCAGTTTTTGAGGAAAGCCCGAACGAAAGCTTAGTTTTTACATCTTCAACTTTGACTTTTGAGGAAAGTCTCGCACGAAAGATTCGTTTTTGCAAGTTGAAGTTGCAGATCAATTGCTGATGCTTCTCGTTTTTGGCGCCTTTCATTTTCCTTTTACAATTCCTTTTTAAGGCTTCAAAATCGTACTTTTCTCGGCTTTGGCGCGGAGAAAATAGTTTTGGAGCAGATCTTGGCCAGGAGAAGCTTCTGTCTTGCCAACGTAATTCTATTTTTTGGCTTCTGCACTCTGGTGCTTGCAGGCTGCATTGGGGTGACTGCATCAACGTTGCTCCGCGTTGCTGTTGCGCATGTAGTTTCATTGTCTTTTGCACCTCGCTGCTTGCAAATCGCATTGGAGTGTCTGCGTCGTTGTTGCTCTATCTTGCTGCTGCGCACGTGGTACCTTTGTCTTTTGCCGCTTGCAAATCGCATTTTGGAATGGTTGCGCCGAAGCTGTGCCGATGAGTTATTGATGACGTTTCTCGTTTTTTGCGCTTTCCATTTTCCTTCTGAATTTCCTGTTGAATTCAAAATCAAACTTTTTGTGGCTTTGGCTGGCGCCAGGATCTGGTTTTGGAGCAGGCTCTGGGCAAGTGAGCTGAGATGAGATGAGAAGAGCTGGGATCAGCTGAGAAGATGGAAGAGCTGAGGAAGAGTAGATATGTGAAGAGAGGAAAGAAGAGATGAGAAGACATGAGATGAGCTAGAATAGAAGAGGTGAGACAAGCTGAGGTGAGATGAGATGGCATGAGTTGAGACGATCTGACATGAGCAGAGCGGCGAAGCGCTGAGAAGAGCTGAGCTGAGACAAGCTACGTAGAATGGAGAAGCTGAGGAGAGCTGAAAAGAGAAGAATTCAGATATGAGCTGAGAAGAGATGAGGAAGCCCAGATGACATGAGAAGAGATAAGAACAGCTGCGATCAGCTGAGAAGAGCCGAGATAAGGAGAGAAGACATGAGATGAGATAAGATTACATGAGATGAGATAAGGTAAGATGAGAAAAGATCCAACCCCGAAAAGAGATGGCGCCGGAATGAAAGGTCAAGAGATTGTTGCTCACAGAAGGCTTGGCCGCACCCAATAGGCACAGTCTTTGCTCCGCTCTATAGGCTATAGGCGTTTCAATTTTGAAACTTCCGCCCCCGGCTTGCCTGGGTACTACTTGTAGTTTGGTTTGAAAGCAATTGGTTCAACGGAAGTTGGAGGGACGATGTAAACAGAAGATAACATGTCAAGACATGTTGTGATCTCTTTGGGGCTTCATTGGGGCCATTGCAACATGTCGTCAGCTCCATCTCTGAACAGCTCTGTGCAACCTGGACGCTCACCTGGCTCGGGTCCCAGCGTGAAACACTGATGAAGAACAAGACACAAAGGAGGAACAGGATGAGCAAAATGACCGGCAGCGTGTCGCCCTCCCGGCACTGCTCGCATACTGAGCCTTGGGGATAGTGGCTGGCCTGGCAGTTGTTACAAGCTAGCCCCTCTCTCCCGACGGAGCATCTTCCTAACATTCCGGGAGGGCACTCAAACTGATCTCGGCAGCGCAAGACAGAGAAGTCGCATTGGGAAACGTTTGGGTCTGCCCAGAAACCACCCTGCTGTTCAGGAGGACCCAAACCTTCAGGGCAATACAGCCCGCTGGGACACGGTATGCAACCTCGCTCCCCGCACATGAAGGAATGCTCCGGACAGCGGCAGTCAGTCTCGCTTGTGGAACCAATCTGTGGAGTCATCTGCATCTTTCCACAAGGCAAACATTGAGAGCTCCCAGCTGATGGCATGTAGAAACCTGAGCTGCACCTGGTGCATGTCTCCATACCTTCCTGCGGCCCCTCAGTGCCAGGCGGGCAAGGAATGCATTCCAGTGAGCCTGCGTCCAGGGCAAAGCTACCTCTAGGACAGGGAGTACAATTCATCATTCCAATGTCAGGAGCAAACGCACCTCTCGGACAGGACGTAGGCAAAGGAGTAGACCCCCCGACGCAGAACATGCCCCTTGGACATTTCTTGCATTGTCTGGACTCCCCTTCCTGGTAGAAACCGGGGTCACACGCATGCAGTTCTGGAGGGGGCAGCATCCCCACTGAACCATCCGTCCACACCAACTGATTGAGAAATTGGAAATTCGCAGTGAGAGAGCTGTAGGAGGCTGTGACAATCGCCCTTGTGCCGCCCTCGCCCTGCATGTTAATGAGTTGATAGGTGCCAAAACGGTCGCCGTTCTCATCAAAACTGACCTCACCTGAGGCGCCGGTGAAACGCAATCGACGCATCTCCTCCAAAAGAACTTGGCCTTGTATCTCACTGGGATCTCTTCCCAAATGAAGAAGCTGGTTGATGGCAATGATGTAAGCATAGGCTGCATCAAAATTAAATGCATCACTTGGACCCATCTGTGCCGCCTCACCTGGCATTCAGTACAAATTCCCAACGAAAGTATTGAAAGAAGAAAACATATACGGGGAACAGGGGGGTGTCTTTTTTTTCGCCTGAAGACTTGGGAAATTGGCCAGGGGTAACCTAGCGCATGACTTGGGAAAGCTGGATTCTGAAAGTCGTCCGACAACTCTGAAATCATCTGAACTCAGCAAAGTCGTTCTTAGTATTGGGAAATTGTTTTTTGGTATGGGCCCCCCTTGACAAGAAGTATCATGAGAAGAGGCAAAGTTGGCACAAGCAGCTAGACGGAAAGCCTTTAGTTTGAGTTTGTTGATTACGCTATGTCAGTTATGCTTTGTATTATTGAATACCGGTAGTGCCGCACAAGGCGCTCGCGGAAGTCTCAAAAATAGGAAACCTATAGGAGAGGTGGGTTGTTGTGAATCACGGATGGCAGGGCGAATCCACTAGTGGGCCGACAGGTGGTTGGAGTTGGGTTTTTTGGACTGGTTCCAATGGTTGCAGTGGTCGCCTTACCACAACTGCTGGATGTAGCGTGGCGTAGTGCAGTTGTAGTTGCAGTTGTAGCTGTAGTTGTAGTGTAGTATGGCGTAGCGGACCTGTAGTTGTGGTGTAGTGGAGAAAAAGACGTTTGGCGAACCCGGACTTACTCAGGTTTTTGAGCCAAAATGGCACCACAAGCGGCCACCATCAGGCATCCTTTTAGTCACCCTGGGGTCTGTCACCAGTGCACTGAAAGGCTGGTTCAAGGCCGGCACGTCATTGGTGGGCTTGAGGGACTTCAGATTTCCCTGTGCCAAAATGGTCCACAACTCCCTGTCAGCCTTGATGACTTGCTCGCTACACACAGCATGATATCCAGCTGGGCACTCCCTAGTCATTGCATTCAGCATGTAGCGCAACCATGTTTCATGAACATCCCAGTCAAGCAAGCGGCAATTGTCCATCGCCAAGCCCCTACGTTGAAATGCCCACATCAATTTCAGCTCCGTGCCCAAGTCAGCTGTTGTAGTGATCGGCACCTGAGAAAGCTTGAGCGTGGCGTTCTCAACCTGGACTGTCGACGCTCAGGGTTTGATGTTTGCATGAATTTCATCATCACGCTTCAAGCACCTTGATGGCGCTATGCAGACTATCGCACCAGACGCAACAATAGAGTTTGCAAGGTCTAACAGTTGAAAACTTGGAGAAAGCTCACCAACCATTTTGACACCTTTCAAACGTTCTTGCTGTCTTTAAAGTCTCGCCTGTTTCTCAGCTGCCGGCAATTTTTTGACAAGTGAACTTAGGTCTGCTGAATCTGACTTCACTTGTTCGTTCAAAGTTGCAACAATCAAGGTCGCGGCTTCAAAATGCAATGAAACAAATGCCAAGTGTCATGGACCAACACGGTCGCATGAATCCACCTCGTGAACCAGAGGCGGAGGATTGAACAACCACTAACCACTGAAAGCTGAAAAAAGCGTGATGTTCTTCTTGCTTATTGACGCGTCTCTTGCCCTCCCTCTCTCTGCCTTTTCTTTTTTGTGTTCTCGCTTTCCCTGTTGATGGTTCTTTTTCCTTGCTTCATCTATTGTCTTCCCCAGCTAATATGGCTCATTCATCCCGTCGCAGTCGAACCGTGCCTGAACGTTCCCGTTCACGGGACCACAATATGTGGCAAAACCGCCCCACACAGCATCATGGTCGCCAATATCTCCCATGGCCTGAAGCAGCTCCTGCTCCTCGTTTCCGGAAAGTCTTAGCAATCGTGGACCTCCAAGCAGTTCGTCCACTCATGAACAAGACCCACGATGATTCGAGGGCTGCCACGACCTGCGAGGTCCTCCTACAATGTCCTGCTCAACACCCATCGCTTAGACACTTTCACGGTGTACAACCTGCTGTACTGCATCAGCCAACATATCTGGTACACGTGGGATCGGTACTTGCCCCCGTCATCCATGGACATTCGTTGGCAAGATGATACTGGCGACACCTTTGCTCTCCGGAATGAGGACAGGCTTGTGGCATACCTCCATGAATATCGCCCTCACTGGACTGAAGCCCAAGAACATAGTGAGATCTTGCCGAAGTCATTGCATCTCTTCTCAAAGGATGCATTGCTGTCTATTAAGGTCATGGCTGGCACAAGTGGCAACGCGATAGAAAGTATTCAGCTGAATGACACTGCACTGTGAAACATTCGGCAAAAGAACCATTTGTGATGACATCAAGTAACATGCACACATTAAACAATTCGCAACTGTTCACATGCTCATGTGAAGAAAATGAAAATGCAAAAAAAAACGCTGCAACACTCGATAAAGTAGGCTGCAGCCTAGCGAGCCACGCGCCAGACATCCACAATCTCCCAAGAAGGTTCATGTGGTTCTCTGCACGTGCAAATCTGACAAATGAAGCTCGAACTCTGCGAAGAAGATGAAAGCCTTATTTCCGAAACAAACAATTTTTGCTAAGTCAAACTTTTGACTTAAAGCAAAAAGGTTGCTCTTTACAAGGGCGCGAATAAGCGTGCTTATTCGCGCCCTTTGATTTCACCGATTTGAAAAGGAAATAAATGGAATCTGATTTATCTGCCATGCTCCATGACTGCCCACAAATAATCGCCCAAAGAATTTCCAAATCTTCTTTGGTTCACATTTGCGGCTCATGTTCACATGTGACAAGTTGAAATGAATCAAAGAAAAACTGTGAATATAAATCTGATGCCAGACGCCACCCTTGTTTTGCACTCGCACAGGCCTCGCTCTGATCCGGCCTCAAACGCCTAGGATCCAGCAAGCCTCTTAGCGCTTGGATGCGTTCAAGCATACACGGCACACCGGTGTGTCATACCGGATGGACATGTTTGAATTGACGTGAAATTGCCCAATCATCCTGTTGCACAAGAAAACGCGACGGTGATCAAGAGGGGCCAAGTGAAGTGTCTTCAGCTTCGAGTGCTGCCAGAAAATGAACCCATCCGGAGGCACTGGTGGCAGGAAGATTCTCTCCTGCTTTCTCTCCTCCTGGAAGTCCTCTGCAGAGCTGTCATCAGATGAACTTGATGCATCCTCTGCAGAAGTGTTTGCATCTTCCTCCTTCTCACTGACAAGGTCGACCAATTCAGCTGGCCCCATGCCCCCAACCTCGACCACTTTGTCATCAACTGACATGGGCCTGGTTGGCGCAGAAGCACTGGTCTCGCTCGAAGTGGTGAACCTTCCGCTCCTGGTGCAGTCTGGTCTGAACTTCAAATTCCTGATGTCCGACAGCACCTGCATCAGCTTGGACAGCGGTTCGGCCAAGGCATCTCGGGAGTATGTGTGGACCATGCGCAGCCCACTGTCACCCCCAGTGTGATACCCCAGTTGGAGGCGTGTCAAAGGGTCCAACCCATACTTGGCACAGAAGCTGAGGCACGTCGCCCTGCAACTGTGGATGGACACTTTGCGCTCCTTCACCACGTCCTTGGTGCCTGTCAGCACTTGTCGAAGCCACTGACTCGCCTCATTTGAAGACAAAGGTCTGGCACAGGGTCCACCGCTTGAATCAGGCGCTGGCATGACTACATGCTTGGGAGGAAGCCCCAAGTCAAGTTGAGCCCTGCTGTCCAACCAAATACTTGCCCAGCATTCAGATGTGACTCCGATACAAGGGGCTGTCAAGGGCAAAAACCTGTGCTTGAAAGCTGACGACCTCATCGTCTTGTGTGTGGAAGTATGTCCTTCCAGGAATCTGACGACCATCTCCTCGTCCCTGTCCACCACAATGTTGTCAACATGCATCAAGTCGGCCCATCTGGACCTTGCATAAGTTGCAAACAAAATTGCACCAGAGAAAACTGTCCCATGGTTCTCCATGTATCAACTTCGCATGTAGGATCCTGAGCTCATCCACCTTCAACGGCTCTGCCTGAGATATAATAGCTGGCACATCTGCAGTTGTCGTTCCCATGCAACGCCTGCTACTGATCACACATGCCAGCTCGTCCATCGACAAGACATGGTGGCAGAAATTGATGGCCTCCATGAAGCCTTTCAGCTTGGAGGGTGGTGCACCCAGGCCCCTTTCCAGATTGAAGAAGTCATAGACTGATTGCTCTGATGCTGGGAAACCCCCAGGTCCAAAGTGGTGACACAATTTCTCCACAGCTCCCACACGCTTGAGCAACGTCGCAGGTGCTCTGCCCCTGAAAACATCAGCCAATAGTGTCAACTTCTGCTCATCTGGGGCCCAGTCGATCTGCCTCCTGATGACAGTCTTTGCATGAAAATGACTGCAAACTACCAGCCAACGTTTGAGGGCTCCCTGAAGCAGTGACTCACGTTCCTCTTGCCATGTCATGTCTGTCTTATGCACAACGATGCCAGCATAAGTGCAACCACTGCTGCAAGTTTTTCTGCACCTTTGCTCTCTGTTCTGTCGCTCCAACACCGTCAGATTGGATGGCTGGCATCAATGCCATCGGCCTACCTGACAGTCCACCCTGAAGCCATGAGCTCTTAAGAAAAGAACCTTCTCCAAAAATATCAGCCCAAACACCTTGTTTCCAAATGGGTTCAGGAGGTTTGAACGGCAACATGGAAAATGCAACTGCGACACAAGCACTGATGTCCTGTACCAAAACATCGCTCCTTCTGTCTGTAATCGACAAGTGATCGCTTGAAACTGATTCCCCAACCTGTGATTGACCTGCATCAAATTGAAAAGCAGTTTCATCAAGTTGTTTGGGTTCAACATCACCTATGCCATCATCTTCAGATTCATCATCAAAACCAGTCTTCGAAAAATGATGCTCACTGTCCAACAATTCGCACTCCGCATCTGCGTGAAAGAAGAATCTACGCCAGGTGTTGCAGAGGCGTGGAGGGCCGCAGAAAGCGGCAAACCGTCACTGGAGTCTGTTTTCATCGTCAGAGACTGGGGGGTCATTGGTAATATCTGCAATGTTTTCGATGAAATCCAAATATGCAGCAACTTGTGTCAAAGCAACGTTGTGGCGATCCACAGGTTCCAAAAAAAGCCAGATATGCAAATTGTGACCCTGAAACCACGTATGATAAAAAAATGATCACAAATGTGTTCGTGCGCTCACTCCTCTGGTCTGATCTGATTCGAGGATTCAGTCGTAGCAATTGGAACATCAATCGTCCAGTGAAAGCAAACACCACAAGCCGAAAATGAAAGCAACTGTCACTCCACCCAGAAATGCTTTGAAAAGAAGCCAGTGCGACAATGACCTGGACGGCACTGGCAGCAAGCAAATGGCTGATGACACAGCTACGTGGCCACGGTGTCTTACCGAACCCTTCGAAAAATCCCTGACCATTGGGCTACCGCGCAACAAAACTTGAGACCAAAATAAAACAGAGTGTCAGGTCACCTGATACCTATCAGTTGAACCTCAACACCTCTTCCTCAAAACAGTTGTGGGATTGACGCAAGCAGATTGTTTTAAGGCACAACGGTTTGTTTGTACACGGCGTGCAGCTGCAAGGTTCTTGGTTGAAACCCAGGTTTCACAAACAACCACCAAGAGCATGGTGAAATAAAGGTTTATCCTATTTCGTTCCTCAACGGAGGTCACCCTTATGGCACTGGTCGTTTCTGCCCGATTGGACGCGGATCAGTTTTGGGGTTTTGCACGTGGTAATAATCCCCGAAGGGTTCTGGCCCTTGCCAATCTTGTAGAGGTTGGAGGTACAGATCTTGATCGGCCAGAGTTTCAGGTCGTCCGGGTCGGTGATCTCACAAGAGTAGCCGAAGAACCCGTAACACGGGTATTGCATCGGGATGCCCAGTTCATTGGTGGCCCAGCTTGCTGGGCGAACGCAATTTTCGACCAATATCTTGGCTACCGATTCCCAACTTGTTTTATGGTAGCTGGCGAAGGTCCCTGCGAATTCACCTTTAAAGGTTGCCTTGGGCGGTAGGCCCGTTGGGACCGTGATAGTCAGCAAGTTTTCCGGCTCGATAAAGTAGACACGAGTCCGCCGAGCAAGGCCGAGGTCCAAAAGGTTTGCCCTTGCATAACACCGTGCGATGTTAGTGACTGTGACACGATCCGCCCTGATGTAGATCGTCTCATTGGCCTCCGTGACGTAGGGCTTTGCCAGTTGGGCAAACATCTAATCGATGAAATTGTTGAAGAGTCGGCGAGTGGAGGCGTCCAGAGTTTCCCGAAGTTGGACCGAGTGGGTTGGGCTTAGCTCTGCCACACACCGACACCGACGGCAGGCAGGCACGGACATGCTTACGTCTCTGACACTAGCTGCGAACATGATCAGACGGATGGCTGGGTTGTCGCTTTGCTTTGTGTAGTTGCCTTGGCGTCTGGAGCGCGCAAGAGCCAGAAGGTTGAGCAAATTTCGTACCTTAGAGTATATAGGTCATTCATACCTGATCCGGAACCTTTGATACGCCGTATGAAGAAGTAACTGGATTGCCACGTGAAAATATGCAGGTGGACCAGCTGGAAGTGGTAAATCAGAATAAGTTTAGACATTCAGATGTAGCATTATGATCTGACTCTTCGACATGCGGTGTGAAGAGGTAGCCGGATTGTCGGTTGCAGTCAAACATTGTTGGTTTTCATGCATCAAAAATCATGGGCATAAAGAAGAGATGCAATGGCCAACCTTCTACATTCGCCAAGCACAGCAGCAGACTGTCCGCTCTCATGACGGTCTGCGCGCACTGCTTGGCCACACTGCACATGCTGCCAAGACTGGCCACTGCCATTCACCTATACTCATGGTGTTGGCATGCCGGTCTTACGTACATGCATACGTACGTACATACATACATGCATGCATACATACGTACATACATACATACATGCATGCATGCATACATACATACATACATACCATCTTTTGACACACCATCTTTTTTTGTCACACACCATCTTTCACATACGACTTTGTCCCACACAATTGTTGTTACTTCACCACCTCCTTTGTCTTTCCTTCCCTCTCCGTCCCGCTACATTTGTTGCTCATTACTGGAAGAAAGTGACATGTGGGGTTATCCGGTCCTTTAATTTTACTACGCACACTTCGCACAACCAGAGTAATTAGTGTAGTTGCAAGCACAGTTGCAGTTGTAGCCGTGGTGTGGTGTAATTAGTGCAGTGTGGTGCAGCGTAATGTCGTGTAGTGTTGTGTAGTGTAGTGTGGTATAGTGTAGTGTAGTCTAATGTAGTGTAGTGTAAGGTAGTGTAACGTAGTGTAGCTGTAGCTGTAATGTAGTGCAGTGTAATTAGTGTAGTGTACTGTAGTGCAGTGCACTGTAGTGTAGTGTAGTTGTAGCTGTAGTTGTAGTTGTGGTGAATGTAATGTAGTGCACTCTAATTAGTGTAGTGTAGTGTAGTGTAGTGTAGCGTAGTGTAGTGTAGTGTAGTGTAGCGTAGTGTAGTGTAGTGTAGAGTAATGTAGTGGTAGTCGTAGTTGTAGTTGTAGTTGCAGTTCTAGCTGCAGTTGTATTTGTAACGCAATGTAATCAGTGTAGGGTAGCGTTGTGTAATGTAGCGCGGTTGTGGTTGTAGCTGTATGTTAAGTAGTTGGCTGGGCGCGCGCAGAAGGCCGCGTCACGAAACAGTGTTTTTGCATGTTCACTGCACTGGCGCCACAGCGAGAGCGCATTTTTTCCTTTTTTATTGTGTTTCGCCTCAGCGAAACCTCTTTTTTTGTCTTTTTTTGTTGTTTTTTTTGGCGTGGTGTTGGTTGGGGGGGTGGGGGGGTGTAATAACGTTCTTTGGACTTGAACACATCTGGGATGGTACGTCATGAGATCTTTTCTTGGAATTCAACACATCTGGGATGGTACGTCATGAGATCTTTTCTTGGAATTCAACACATCTGGGATGGTACGTCATGAGATCTTTTCTTGGAATTCAACACATCTGGGATGGTACGTCATGAGATCTTTTCCTGGAATTCAACACATCTGGGATGGTACGTCATGAGATCTTTTCTTGGAATTCAACACATCTTGGGATGGTACGTCATGAGATCTTTTCCTGGAATTCAACACATCTGGGATGGTACGTCATGAGATCTTTTCTTGGAATTCAACACATCTGGGATGGTACGTCATGAGATCTTTTCTTGGAATTCAACACATCTGGGATGGTACGTCATGAGATCTTTTCTTGGAATTCAACACATCTGGGATGGTACGTCATGAGATCTTTTCTTGGAATTCAACACATCTGGGATGGTACGTCATGAGATCTTTTCTTGGAATTCAACACATCTGGGATGGTACGTCATGAGATCTTTTCTTGGAATTCAACACATCTGGGATGGTACGTCATGAGATCTTTTGTTGGAATTCAACACATTTGGGATGGTACGTCATGAGATCTTTTCTTGGAATTCAACACATCTGGGATGGTACGTCATGAGATCTTTTCCTGGAATTCAACACATCTGGGATGGTACGTCATGAGATCTTTTCTTGGAATTCAACACATTTGGGATGGTACGTCATGAGATCTTTTCTTGGAATTCAACACATCTGGGATGGTACGTCATGAGAAACCATGCACTTTTTGGAAAGAATCCAAGCGAGGTTCTCGAGCAACTGTCTCGACTTTTTGCAGATTAAAGAAAACTTGGCGAACATGCGGTGGATGAAAATAAAAATTCATGCACTGAAGTAAACACACTTGAAAGTGTCTCAACTGAAGTAGTTTTTTTCGACGTCAAAATATGACACGCCAAGATATAAACATGGACATGTGAAGTTGCACATGCATTTCGAATGGCCAGCGTGGAGGATTTGCCATATCACCACTCATACATTTGTATCAAAACTGAGATGAAAGTGCACGAAACCATACGGCCATCTATGAGCGCCCGACCAAGTAGTTAGGTAGTTAGGTAGGTAGATAGATAGATAGGTAGGCAACTACAACTGCAACTACAACTACACTACACTACACTACCACGACACTACCACGACAACTACAAATACGTATGCAAATAAACCACGCCACAGCACTACACTAATTTCACTACACTACACCACTGTACACTACACTAATTACACTACAACTACAACTACTACAGCTACAAGTTACAACTACAACTACAACTACGCTAAATTACACTACACTACACTAATTCCATTACGCTACGCTACACTAGGCTATAACTACAACTACAGCTACACTACACTACACAACACTACGCTACGCTACACTAGTTACACTACACCACACCACACCACACCACACTACACTACACTACACTCACTACAACTACAACTACAGCTACAACTGCAACTACAACTACACGACACTAGGCTACACTACAGAACACAACACTACAGCACACTACACTACACTACATTACATTGCACTACACTCATTACAGCACAACACAACTACAACTGCAGCTACAACTACACTACACTATTTACAATACACTACAACTACAGCTACACTACACTACAACTACAGCTACAGCTGCACTACACCACACTACATCCAGCAGTTGTGGGTGAGGTGAACACTGCAACCATTGCAACCACTCCAAGAAACACAACTCCAACCACCTTTCGGTCCATCAGTGGATTTGCTCTGCCATCCATGCATCACACCAACTCACCTCTCCTATAGTGTCCTATCTTTGAAACTTCCGCCACCGCCTTGTGCGGTACTACTGATGGTATTGAATAGCATAATTTGATTGGCATAATTAGCAGAATTCACTGCCCAGCTTTGGGCCAAATGACCCCTATTCTTCCATCATACTTGCACATCCTATCATTGGCAAATTTCGGTGCAAAATCCCTGATAAAATCATTGGGTTTTGGAATATTCTTGAACAAATGCAGTGGTTTATCACAGAAACTGCACAATGCGTTGATGTTAGGCCAATTCGGTCGGTTGCCTGCGCCGAAGGGCTCGTCCCCAAGAAAGCCCACAGGCATCCTCACGTGATCCAGGCCATGAATGTCCTGTGGCGCAAGTAGGGACCATAGATTCTGAACGTCTGAGAACTTTTCACCTTCAGCCGAAGGCTGAAAATACATGAAACCCCTTTTGAAGCTCGAGGCGAAATTGTGCATCGTCTCGGAGGCCAGGATCTGCCAAGCCGGGCTTAACATCTCCTCTTGCTCCAGAACGTCAATGAGGTCTGCAGCCAAATGCCAGGAGATGAGCAGGATGATAAAACGGGAGCCAATCTGCTTCACAAGCCTGACCGCAGTACGGGCCTCCTCTGCAACAAATTCCCGTTCCATGTTGCGGAGTGCTTGGCCCTGCACACGGTCTTGTTGACCATGGCTTCGTTCAAGCTCCTTGAGAGCATCGAAGAGACCTTGACCATAGCTCTCTGCAGAATAGAGGCAACCTGCCATAGGAACCTCAAACTGCAGAATCCAGCTCCATAAGGCACGAGCCTGAAGGCTGTCTGGTGGCACAGTTCGAAGAAAGAAGGGGTATGAGTCCTTGTTGGATAATGCAGGGCTTGTTGCACAGCAGGATAGCTGAACAACCTTCCGCACTGCAGCCACAGTGGCAACGGGCATCGAAACCGATGAATAGGTTGGACCAATCATTCCAATGACTGGTTTACCTGTCTGACCAGTCATGAGGTCCAAAGCACTGGCCATTCCCACTTCCTGCGATCCTTGTGTCTCCTTGACGTGCAAGCTGATTAAGCTTGCATTTGGATGCACACCACCAGGAATTGCGACTATGGGAGGACCCAGCCGCATCACCAAGGAAGCGTTCCAGTTCTTCTCATAGTCCACGAAAGCCACTAGAACTGAAACCAAATTTCTTCCTGGGAGCCCCAGACCTCCCAGCGCAATCTCCTCACATGCTGTTCTCGCTGTCAATGCCAGTGCCAGCGCTGCAAAACATTTGCTACGCGGCATGGCTTGGCACACCGAGTTCGCACCGAGTTCACTGTGATGCCGAAACAGGGCTGCACCGGAAATAGCGAATGTTGTTTGAATTTGATGTTTTTTTGGTGTTTTATCTTTCTGGTGAATTTCCCCATCCCTGGTGGTCAGAAGACCCAATTGCTTTCTGACAGAATTATACAATTTTCCTGAAGCGATTGGCAGAGCTGGGAACAGGAGCCATACTCCATGTGCTGCAGAGAAACAACTCTTGAAAGAGGGGAATTACCATATGGCAACTTCTAGACATTGAAATTTCACTTAGAAGCACCAGAGGAGCTACATAATTCACGCGCCTCGTGATCACCGCGGCAGAAAAGTAGACCTGAACATATCTTAACATGAAGCATTTCTGAAATGAAATTCTAGAAGTGAATAGAAGTCACATGAAGTCACCCATAGTCACTGTGATTTTTGGATCCTGATCACCTTGGTGCCTGTGCAATTTCTCTTCGCACCAAGCATCGGTGCTCCAGTTGCAAGTTGTTTGGTCAAGATGACTTTAGCCAGTTCTTGCCACTACTTTTGTAATTTTTTGTCATTTGCAAATTTAGATCCAAATAGGGTTTCGTCAGAAAATGTTGGGAAAGCTCCCAAATTGCACGGTTGATCATCATTTGCCCCACGCAGATTGCCATGATTTTACCTTCGTTTCAATGGGCAATAATGAGCCATAAATGTGGTGTTTTTCTTCTTCTTCTTCTTCTTCTTCTTCTTCTTCTTATGCCCGTGCCTCCAACAATCTCCCGAAACGCAAGCAAAAGAATGTCATCGAGTTGTGTGTCGACACCGTTGACAAAATAATGGAATCACAGCAAATCATGGTATTCACATGTATTCACTCAAGCAAGGCGAATGGATACTATGGCCACGGATTGCCACTACTCTGGAGCCCAAACCCATCCTTTTGCCTTCCTCCACAGACAGGGAGCCTTCCACGTCAAGTTCCTTTAGGAACTTTGTCACTTCTTGCATCTCAGACGGGCAAAATGTTTGGCAAAATCACTCGTTTTTTGGATTCCATTTCTGCATGAAACGATCAGTGGTCAGGAACATGGAGTTACCTTTGGTTTGCGACATCTAGAATGGACAATTGGAGTTACCTTGTAAAAGTTTTTTTCGAGTCGGTCTGTTCGTCATCTTTCCCACCTGCACTTTGGCAAGATGCTTCTCCAGTTCCTCCTCACATGGGATATAGCAGGATGGAGCAAGTTGAACTTGACGCAGTCAGCTGAGAGTCTGTGCCAAAAAGGAAGCAGCAGGGTCATGTCATGTATTCAATGCAATTTCTGACAAGATCATATAAACTAGCTGAGTCGTGGAACGTTGCATGTTCAAGGTAGCTGGCGCGGCCCATCTTGTCAAAATATTGTTTCACCTCAACAAGAAAGCTGGGATAATTTCCGTCAAGAATATCAAGAATCCAATTTCAAAAGAGCCAAATCCAAAATTGCTAGAGATCCTTTTGCATATGTAGGTTTCAACCCGTTCAACCCCAAGAAACGCATAGCAAGACGGAGGTGTTCGGCTCCGATTCCAGATTCCATCGATGGAACCCGTGAGTTTCTGCAACTTCGTGCTCGCCTTGCACATTGACGACACCAAAGGCATGTGGTTTTCAATCTAACATGGACCCAGAAGCAAAGGTTACAATGTGTTAACCCAACAGCACCCTAACAACGATGATTCCTCTTCCTCCAGCTGCGCCACTTTTCGTCGGATTTTTTCTGAACCACAAATGAAAATGGGTCTTTGGTAGTAAACCATCAGACCATATCAGACCATTCCATTTTTGGGGCACAAAATTGTGATGCATATCCACATGCAACTCAAAGACAAAAAAAAATTCAAAGATCGAACGTCCAAAGTCGAAAAATCCAACACGGAATCTACCAACATGGCGATGTCAGGAATCTGCTTTGATATACATTTGAACTTCCCTATCCGCCTCTTGTTCAATCAGCTGGCGTGCTTGAGCAGAGCCGCCACTGCCCATGTTCGTCAAACCCGCAGCCTGTGCACACCTAGAAAGAAAAATTTGTCGATTTTGTCATTTGATGGTGATCAGACGGATTTTGTTCAAAATCCAATGGACAAAGCATGCATTATTTCCCCATTAAAACTATGTGGTCGGCGACATGGGTTGTGGTTCAATCAACAAAGCGAAGCATACGGCCTGCCAAATTCGATGGATGGAAAAGAGTTTCAGCAAGTTTGACTGGGAAATGATCAACGCTTGAGCCCGTTACTGCCACATGTTTGCACATAATGTTTTATACCCTGCGTTTGGTACATATTTATTATCCTCACTGCCTGCTTCCCCCCATCAGCGTCCGGGCCAAAAGTAAGAAAGCAGGGAATGGTTTCCAAGCAGAAATGAATCGTCTGCAAACCACGAAGCAATAATTACCACAAACACATTTTCTTCATTGGAACAGCTAAAACCGCATTCCGCAAAGTTCCAGAGAACAGGCCCAAGAATAGGTTCCCCAAGCCACGTTCCCAAATCAATTTCCCATTTTGAAACGTTTTTGTTCAAAATTGTGATGTCACTTGCAAGTGCAGCGGCCGAGTTACTTCTGCAAAACGATCGGCGTAAACTACGCACCTGTTCTTGAACCAGGGCCTCAACGACAATCACTTGTGTGTATGATGCATGTCAATGTTTCCCGTGCGAATGAAACCATACTCCTCCTTGGACAGGTGAGGTTTCAGCTCTGCTGTCCACACCAAACCTCAAATTGTTCCACCGCCAATGCACTTTCTGACACGCATCCATGCCAAAGTCTTCGGGTTTCAGGGTTGCCCGCCACCCTCTCATTCTGAAAAAGCCATCTCACGCAAAAGGTTGGCATAGTCTGCATAGTTCTGATTTTTTTTTTGCAATTGTTGTTTCTCATTGTGTACGTTGGCGATCTCCCAATCTCTCAATTCTATCTCCTAGCCTCTGAAACAAGTTAATTCTGATTCCTCGGTCTATACGACGCATAGCATCCAGCAACAACATGTCGTGCAAGGCAGTTGTTCAACTCATTTCGAAGCTGTTAGGCAGAGCACAGCGCAGTGGAGCACCTTTGTTGCGTCACATTTGACCAATGAAAGTCGTCAGCAGCAGTGCGTGTCATCCTTGTGCAGTGGCCATGTAAACCGGTCATGCACACACTGAAAGTATTTGACACCCCGCCTCAGGTTTTGTTTGAGCGCAGGGAAAATCAAAAGCTGTACGCTGCACAGGGTATTCAAGTGTTTCTTCTGGGGAAATAGTCCTGATGCATGAACCATTGTTCACAGAAATTTCCCCAATGTTCTTGATGTTGTTTCCCGACCCCAATGTCATTGAATACCTTGTACTCATGTGGATCTTGCCTATTCCACCACAACCGGAAGTCAAAGTTGAGGTCAGGCTGTCCTGGGAACAGCATCATCAAATGAAATAAGATGAACTTCCCTAATTCTCTCAGCTCTTCGGCGTTGGCCTGGCGGGAAGTGCACCAGCAGCAGGCTGATGTCGTTCAGGACCAGTCCCACCATCGGCACATCAAGGACATCGTCGCTCTTTTTGCTCTTTGGGGAACCAGGCAAACTGACATGTTTTTTCTGGGACTTGTTCAGGAGGTTCACGTCCTTGCGGGATTGGCATCGGAGCAATCACTGGTCGCGGAGCCGCTGGAAATGTTGGTGCGTTCATCAGCGAAATGTCGGCTTGAACTTCCGCATCCGTCTCCTCATTCTCTGATTCGCCACTTTCATTCGGCTCCCCCATCTGCATCGCTTTCAGAGGGTCCAGCTCTTCTACGCCAAGTCGAGGTCGGGCTTGACGATGAGGCCTGACATATCTGGCCAAACCATTCGGAGTCTCTCTGAAGTACTCCTCTCCTAAAAACATCTTTTGTAACCACAACGCCTGCGGAGTAAGCGCATATTCTTGTCCATGCTTGTTGCATGACTGAGCTGTTTCCTTAAACTGAGTTTCCAGTTTTGGAGTAGTTTTCAACTAGCAAACTGCCTATACAACCGGGCTGAGTCCAAAGTACAAAACTCTATACCCCACCTTTGGGTTATGAGTAGATTTACTCATTGACCCAAACTAGAGTCTATTCCTACGGAAATAAACTTAGTTTCAACCATTCAAATCCAAGTGGACATCTGGTATGTCCCAAAGCAGTAGGGCCTTGGATTTCGATTCCAACCAAACAGCTTGTGGTTTCTCTGCTAAGGTCTATTGCGACCATTCCATGTGAAACGCCATCAAGGAGATCGCGTTAACTCCTTGCATAGCTTTTGAAGTCTTTCAGCATCCTCAATAATGAGGTTCATTTCTCTCATTTTCACCTTCTTGTTCCGTGTAGAAGCGGAAGTCGCGTGCAGGACCTTCCAAGTGTTCTTCACCTTGGATCTCCTGCATTCGCGCATCATGGAGTTGCTGCCATAATTCCTCATCTGAGGCTTCATGCCTTTCACATAACGCATATCGGTGCTTCTTCTCCTCGAATGTCTCTGTTGTTTCTGGATCAGATGCCATCTCATCTGATTCTCCATGTTCTCGGTCACCTGAATGTTCATCTTCAGGTTCTGCTCGTATGTCATGCCAGTACCCTGGGTCAGAAACATCATCAAGCTCTGACCTCATGTAGCGGTCGTACCGCCCTTCTTCTGTTTCTATAACCTCTCCATTTTCAGCTTCTTCTTCCATTCGGCGTACCATCTCTGCAGCTATGTCAAAAGCTCGCACTCCTTGTTCACATTCACGCATCACTGTCTCTTCTGAGCACATATACCTTGGCGAATATTCATCGTCTGTAAGGTCCGTCATTGACCTGACATTGTCAATCATATTTTCTCTGTCTTCAGGACTCAAACCTTCCAGGCACAGCTTGAGCATCTGTTGTAATCCACCTTTCCTCATATTGTTTGTAAGAATGCGATTGCCTCTTACAATTCGCTTTCCAGCTCGATCGCACAACCAATAAAGT